CTTCATAGGAAGACAACAGAGTTTGGAATCTCTACAACATATCATCTACAATATCTATTATACAATAACAACCAAAAAAATCTCATCATATGAGAAACAGGAAAATGTGACTCGTGGTCAAGAGAGAAAAGAGTCAATAAAAACAGACCCACAGATGGCCCAAATGTTGAGACTGGCAGAAAAGGACTTTTTTTTTTAAATTTTTTATTGTTATGTTAATCACCATACATTACATCATTAGTTTTTGATGTAGTGTTCCATGATTCATTGTTTGCATACAACACCCAGTGCTCCATGCAGAACGTGCCCTCTTTAATACCCATCACCAGGCTAACCCATCCCCCCACCCTCCTCCCCTCTAGAACCCTCAGTTTGTTTTTCAGAGTCCATCGTCTCTCATGGTTCGTCTCCCCCTCCGACTTACTCCCCTTCATTCTTCCCCTCCTGCTATCTTCTTCTCAGAAAAGGACTTTTTAAACCTGATGGGTAAAGGCTGAAGAAATGGGAAATTTCAGAAGTTACTTGTAAAAACAAAAACTATTATATCTGAAATTTTGAAAAAATATATATCATTGACTGGAATTAACAGTATATTGGATGCAACAGAAGAAAGGACCAATGACTTAGAGACTAGTTAAGATAGAAATCATCCAAACTAAGGCACATGTTAGAAAAAGGTTAAAAAATAAACACTCAGTGACTGGGGTGGGGGGGTGGTATCAAGTGATCGACAATACACACACACTGGAGTTCTAGTATCAGACAGAGAAAGAAAGAGAAAAAAACTGTATGGAATATTGGCTGATTTTTCCCCAAAATTTGATCAAAAACAGCAACCCAGGGATTTATAAAGTTCAGCAAACTCAAGCAAGAAAAAAAAACAAAAATCACACCTATGCACATTACACAAAACTGCCGAAAACCACAGATAGGAAAAAGTTCTTAAAATCATCCACAGATACAGCACCCATTGCATACAGGGCTACAACAATGGGAACAATGGTTAACCTCTTATCAGAAACCTGGGCAGGAAAAAAATGAAATGACATCTTTAAGGAGCTAAAAGGAAATTACTTTCAAGCAAGAATGTTATATGCAACTAAAATATCTTTCAAATATGAGGACCAGGGACGCCTGGGTGGCTCAGTCAGTTAAGTATCTGCCTTCGGCTCAGGTCATAATCCAAGGGTCCTGGGATCGAGTCCCACACCGGGCTCCTTGCTCAGCAGGGAGTCTACTTCTCCCTCTGCCTGCCACTCGCCCTGCTTGTACTCTCACTCTCTCTCTCTCTAGCAAATAAAGTCTTAAAAAGAAATGAGGACCAAAAAAAAAGACACTTTTTCAGGCAAACCAAAGATAGACCATTAGATCACCATTAGACACATTTCAGGCAAACCAAAGATGGACCATTAGATTGCAGACTTGTACTGCAAGAAATGCTAAAGGAAGATCTTCAGGCTGCAAGGAAGTGATACCAGATGGAAATTCGTATGGACAGGAAGGAATATGAAGTACAAGAAGTGGTAAGCATGTGGGTAAACAGGAATTTTTTTTTCTTTTAACGTTTAAAAGTCAATGGACTAAAAAAAAAAAAGTCAATGGACTGTTTTAGGCAATCGCAACCACACTGTGCTCCTAGGTTTACAACATGAGAACTAAAATGCATGACACAAAGAACAGGAGGCACATAAATGGAATGACATCTCTGGGAGGCTTCTGCCTTCCCTGGAAGTGGTTTTAATATTGGTCTAAGGTGGACACTGACATGTGAAGGACACGAACTGTAACCCCCGACCAACCACTAGAGATGCAGTATGAGGAAGGATGGTAGAGTGCATGCCACAGCTTGAGATTGTTCTGTGTACCACTCTTCCCCTGCTCCCCCAGCCCAGCCACCCAGGAGGGCCTCTCTCTCCCTGGAACCCAGCCGGGCACCGCCAGGACGCGGGGGCCTCCTCCAGCACTGCTGTCTAGCATCCCTTGGCCATTTCAGATAGCACCATCCCTGTTTCCCAGCACCAGGTCGGGGTGTGGCCCACCAGAGGGGCTCTGTGAGTGTTTTTGGAGGGCAACACTTTCAGCTCCCACCGAGGGTGCAGTTCCTTCCCTCCACCCGCAGTGTGCCCCAGCCATCCAGCAGCACCCCAGCCATCCTGGCCTCCAAGTCTCCCGTTCCCTGCACAGCGCAGACGGCCCGGGGGGTAGGCAGCAGGAGAGCACAAGCGGGCAGATGCTCCGCTGCCTCTCACCTGGATCAATCATGGCGCGAGAGGGGGCTGGAGCCCTGCCACAAAGGCCGCTGCGGCCTCTTTGGATTAAAAGTCCCTAGACTGCTAATTAGCCAAGGAGCCCTGGAGGCCAGGTCCTCCGGGAGCAACAAAGGCCAAATGGATTACGGTGTGGTTTCAGCTAACCTCCCAGCTCTGTGGTCCTGAGTGGTTCCTCCCCGCTCCTCATTAGAGAAGCCGCCAGGATGAACGGCCCAAAAGTCTGGGGTTTGACGCGCTGCCACGACTGACCCCACGGGAGCCCAGGGCCCGGCCGGCTGAGCCCTCGACGCCTGCTCGCTTCTTCTGCTGCATCTGTGGCGTCTCGCAGACAGGGATGCTGAGGCGCGGCTGCCGCGGCTCAGGGCAGGACGGCAACAAGGAGGTCCGCGCTGTCTGCGAGCACAATGGCGAGACACGGATGCTGCCTGGGTGTGATTCTGGAGGGAGTTACAGGGAGGTGATCCCCGAACTGGGACCATCCGGGGGCCACTCCTGTGCCGTCGGCCCCATCCACGCACCAACCAAACCGTCACCTGTTTAGCATCTTGTGTCATACTGACTTGCTCTTGATGGAAGTGCATGCTGAGAGGGTGCTTCAGCACCGACGAGGGAGGGCCAGCACCACGAGCCCTAACTGGCAGGTGAGACGCCAGTGCCTGACCAGCTAGGCCCCCAGGTGTCCCCTCCAGTCAAGGACCGTGCCGGGGAAGAGCCTCCTGGGAGAAGGCAGAGCCAGGTTTGAACCTGACCCCGGCAGCTGTTAACCGTGACTCTGGGCAAGCCACCCAGCCTCTCTGAGGGAGAGCTTGCTCTCTGTGGCACCAGGTCGCCAGCGTGCCACAGGGTGACGCGGTTTAAATATGACAGTGGATATACTCTGTCGTCAAGCGCAACAGGACTTGAGAGACCAAGGGGGCAGCGTCCGCGGGCCAGCCAGCCTCCCCCGACCCTGGGCCTTGCCGAAGTTCTGTCTCCCCCCGCTGGACCCAGGACCGTGTGCACGGTGCGCCCGGTCGTTCCAAACAGCCGTGGAAACCGTCTCTTGCGTTACAGCCCAGGTGACAAGTCAGCCTGGAGCTGGGAAACCCACCATTCTCCTGACTTTAATGTGTTTCTCATGGCTGCCTCTTCCTGACAGCAGAGCCCACTGGAAACCCCCCAGGGAGGTGCCGGCCAGAACTGAGCTCTCAGCCTCTCCAGGCCGGGCTGCCCCCCCCAACACGGGGTCCTCCTGCGGGGGCCCTGGGTCGGTTTGCCCTGGCAGCTGTGCCCCTGCCTGGTGACGCTCAGTGGGCAGCCACCCCAGGAGCAGAGCTGAGAGGAAGGAGCAGTGTCGCCTTCTAGTCCCCTTTGACGGGGTGACAGGTCTTTACGGGGAGATGTGGGTGGGGGTCATCTCTGAGGCGGGAGTGGACCCCTGCTGGCCAGAGACACAGAGCAGGGGGAGGAGGATGGAGAGGCTGGAGGCCACTCCCCTGCCCACCCTCCAGGACCCTCTCCTCTGGGACTCTTCCCCACTCCCAGCCCCACACACTCTGACCTCAGCCAGGTCGCCGTGGTCAGCAACCCTCTGGCCACACACTCCTGTGGACACGTGCGTGCTGAGATACCACAGTGAGTGTAATGCCGGATGTGACAGTGACCTCTGGGCAGGGGCACAGTGGTGCTGGTGGCCATTAAGATGTGGTACCTGGAACCAAGAGGTCGGATCCGGGGGACACGGCCTCCCCAGGCCATTTCTGCTGTTCTGAGTGGCGTGCGGGGAGTCTTCAAGATGTGGCAAGTCTCCTTGCAGCACAGCACCCACCTGGCAGGACCCACAACCACCCACCTGAGGACAGGTGTCACCCAGGGGCACCCAGGAGAGCTGAGGTCATCCAACACCCCCTCCTGACCCCAACCGAGATCCGTGGCTGAGAACGTGCCCTTGGGGTTTTTCAGGGCAAACCATCCATCCCAAGACTCTGTGGGGCGGCTCATTTCCCTGAGAGCCAGCCCCACCCGGCCAGGCACCCCTGTGCTGCACCGAGTGGAGGCGCCTCTCAGAGAAAGGGATGAGTTCATTCTCGTTGCCCCGAGTGAACCAAGAACACCCACACCACGGAACACTGCACTGCCCAAGTCACCAGGGGACGCTGTGCGGAAAATGAAGAGCAGGACAGTGCACACCGATGTGACCTTTTATGTAAAACTGAAAAAATAATTTCAAACAGAAACACGTAGGATTTTTTTTTTTCTAGAATCAAAAGATTTGCTGATAGCACTTCTGGGGAGAAGATCTAGTAGGGAGGGGCAGGAGGGGAGTTTTCGCTTTCTGTGATATTTAGGTTTTCTGGCCTTGTTGTGTATCACTTAGGATTTTTTCTTCACGTCACCTAGAGTGACCTGGCTAATGAGATTATGGGTGTTTTGTTCCCCGTAACTAAAAATAACCTGCACATGTAAGCATTACAGCCTTGACAGAACCCCCGTGTAGTGATGAGCACCCAGAGCAGCTGGGTTTCCAGTACAGCCAGGAGTTGGCGGGACCGGCTGCACTCCTGGGGGTGAGCCCGCTCTCACACGGGAGTCAGGTGAGCCAGAGCCAGGCCCCTGAGAGAGGCCAGACGGTCCCGGCACTTCCTCCACCTTCACAATGATGAGATGCTGCAAGAGCTCCCGTGCTCTTTCTGGAATAGAGACGCTGAGCACAGGCATGACCTCGTTTACAACACAGACCCAGCACTCCAACGGGGCAGGGGCAGGAGGGACGTCAGCTTCTGCGGCATCTGGTGTGGGTGTAACCATCGGGCTATGTTACTGGGGGAATCCGGAGGAAGGCACCCCAACCCGCAGAGTCTGTGGTCCCCAGAGGAGCTCCTCTCGCCTTGGCCCCCGCACCTGGCCTCGGCTCACGGGGCAGAAGCAGCTCACAGAACCTGCTTCTTCCTCTTGGGGGTCTGGGGCGGCCGCAGCTCTGCCGGCCCGTGGGCAAACGGGCAGCTGTCTGAAGGCAGAACACAACCGTCAGGGTGGTGACTGAAGAACCAGCAGATGCGGGTCTTGAAGGCCTCCGAGAAGAGCCTCCGCTTTGCCTCTGGGCACTGCTGCCTGTGCGGCTTCTCTTCTCTCCAGTCGCGGATGTGAACGCTCCCATTCAGAACTGTGCTCAGGACAGAGAGAAGACACGGCCCGGGTGTTCCCCTCCGAGCCCACCGACTCACCAGGGCCTGGGGCGGCAGCCCCCCGCACACAGGCTGTCTGAGCCCGGAGCCTCGGCCCGGTGGGGCAGGCAGGGGGGTGGGAGGGAGGGCCTGAGGGAGCAGGTGAGGAGCAGGCTGGGGGAGCCTGGAGGGGCCAGTGTCAGGGGTCAGGGGCCATCAGGAGGCGCACGCTGGACACCAGGGGCTGGGGTGAAGAACCGTAGGGAAGCTGAGGGCCCGCTGCTGACAAGATCCAGGCTGTGACCACGGATGAGTGGCTGGGGACGCACCAGGATGGGCTTGTGGGCAACGAGGCCGAGGGCCTGGGAGACCACGGCGTAAGAGCCACGTGTGGTCCCAGACTCGGGTGCAACTTGGGAAGCTGCGGTGGCATCTGTCCTGGAGAACCTCACCTCCGCATCAAAAAAAACAAGCAAAGCTCCTTTCTAGGCAGGCGAAGATGAGGGTTTACTGGCATCCCTCATAGCCAGAGCCCCCAAATGCAAACAGTGAGGAGGGGCACAGCAGCCAGTCAGCAGGGTGGGGGCCGTTGCAGGACACGGGGACTGGGGGCTATGGCCCCAGCAGCTGCCCAGGCCCCCCACCCAGCTGCCTCCTGAGCCAGTCGCCCCCATTTGGGCTGAGACTCCCCACCAGGCGTTCACCTGGCCATCTCACCCCCAAAAGCCAGCAACTCCAAGGAAACGTGGCCAAAGCAGCCAAATCCATCCTGGTTTTCTGGAAGCTGTAAAATCACCCGGAGACAGACAGGCTCGGGGAGAAATAAAGGAAGCTTAGTGAATAAATCTGGCTCTCCAACTTCTAACAAGAACTTGAAAGCACGAATTAAAGCTTGGAGTTTGCTTTCAAATGGCCTTGTGTTGTGGCAATAACAAGACTGTCTCTGCAGACTGCCATTTATTAAATATTTTCCCTTAAACCAGAGAAAGGAGCTGCAGAGAAGTGTCTCTTGCACGGAGGGCCACAATGGAAGGCTCTGTCACGGGCAGTCAAGAAGCACCTACTCAGGGCCTGGCACAGCTGTCTCCCCTTCGGAGCCGGCCTCCCACACAACTCCCCACAAGGCTGACACCTAGCTTTCTCGGTGTGAGAGCTCAGGTCAGGGGAACATCACTGGGTTCCACCGGATGTCCCCGCAGCAGAAGGACGTGGCCCTGGAGTGTGTCCCGAAGGAGCCCCGAGGCAAGACTCCCACCAGGTGCCTGGGGTGTGCACCCTAAAAATGCAAGGAGCCCTCAGCCCAGCCCAGAGGCCTGGACGTGTTCAAGAGAAACCCGGGGAGAGGGCAAGGCAAGGGGGCCAAAGCCTCCACAGGGGGCCCCTCCCCTGAGGACTGGCTGGCCCATACCAGGCCGTCTTGTGAGTTAAAAGGGCACCTCGCCACGTTCAGGGTCAGGGGAAAGGGGGCCTGAGCACCAGTGACAGAGGACCGGCCCTGGCAGAGACCAAGACATGCTCCCGTGCACCCGCAGGTCCCAGGGCAGCTCTCTGCCGTGCCCCTCCTGACACCCCCAGCTCCAGTCCTGGGTAGGCCTGGGCTGGGCACCTGTACCCACTCCAGCCGGCTCACAGGTCAGAGCACCAGTGGACTCTCCCCAGGGTGAAATATACTCCAGATTCTAAAATGGAATCACAAGAACACAGTACGTTCTATCAAAGTTTCCTGATTTGACGTTTCCATTTCCTCCCAAAGTATGCACTCCCTCGGAGCTGCTGAACGCAGCACACAGAACCTGCTGGTCCGTTCCCCACCCGCTCTGACAGCAGACGTTACCACAGCTAAAGTGCTCTGAGGAACCAGATGCAGGCTGTTCCAGAAAATAACTATGGACAATTTACTGGAACAGTGCCCGTGCTCAGGTTCTGATCAGACGTGGCCTAGGTTGCCAGGTCAGTCTCTCCATTCAGGAGAGACTTTGGGCAAGTCCCCACCTGTCAGTGGCAGCCACACGTTCACCACGGCGAGCACAGGGAGTGACAGCACCGCGGGCAGGGACCATGGGGCCAGGGCCGCGTCCACCATGCCCCCACCCCCCCACCGCCCCTGACGGTAGCACGCACCCACCCAGGCACTGGCCCGTCCCTCACAAGGTGCTCAGCGCTGAAGGAACTGAGGGCATCCAAAATCAATCTTACCTCCTTGGCCCTGTAAACACCACCGGAAACTAGCCACTCTCATTTAAAACACCCTCGGAGATAAGAGCAGCCTCGGTGCATAGTTTTTGCATGACTGTGAGCAAAATGTTTACTCAGAGCTCAGTCCCCAAGCCGCCTACCCAGAAGTGTTTCCAAAAATAAATGTGCCCCCCCATGTGAACTGCATAGAAAAGCAATCACATACATGCATATTTATGGTGGAAAAAAAAAAAAGCTACAATTTCTTGAAGTCAAACAAAAAGCCATGCTGGGAAAAACAGAAGAGCAGCCCTTCTGGGTTGCAGTGAGTGTTTTCACGGACAAAGGCCTTGTGAAACGGAGAGCACATCCCAGGCCGCTGTGCCAGAGCTCAGCTGGAGCAGGAACTGCTGGTTCAGGAAGTCCGCCCTCCTCCCAGGGGCTCCACTCCCCAACAGGGGGCCCTGCCCGCCCACGCCCCAGCCTCTGCAGCCATCCCAACCATGGACACTCCAGTTCTGCTTACAGGGCTCAGTGCCATCACAAGCATTTCCACAAGCAAAGCCAGGTTTAAACGAAAACAGTCTAGCTCCACAAGGGCACCCGAGCTACCCAAAGGCACTGTAAGCTTGCACACCCGAGCTCTCCCGTGCATGCGTGGGGGCCACACACACCCAGGTTCTCCCATGCACACGTGGGGGGCCGTGCACACCCAAGCATACCCAAGAGCTTTCCCGTGCACACATGCGGGCCACGCTCACCTGAGCTCTCCTGTGTCACATGCACACACGGGCAAGGAAGAGAAAGTGACAGTGCCCAACTCCCTCAGCTTTACAGGCTGCGAGTGGACAGATGTGCTTCTATCAGCCGTGGCCACCTGCCCTGAGTCGCTGTCCAACCACCCTTCTCAGCAGCTGCACAAGGGTGGGGGTGTGGGGACTGACCCAAATCCTGGGGCTCAGATAACTGCCCGCATCCCTAGACAAGGCCTGTGGGCCTCCCCTTCTCCTGCGTTGGGCTCTGCTCACAGGTGGCACCTTACAGATTGGGGACTCTGGGACTCAGTGGTCTCCCCCCACTCATCATCTCCCTAGGAGGAGGGGTCAGGGAAGTGTGTCTTCCTCACCAGGCTGCTCCGTCTTCATCCTGTGACATGGGCTCTGCGCCGCCCCTCGGGCTGCAGAGCAAGGCCCGGCCCCACCCACAGGGAGTGCACAGTCAAGCTGGAGCAGTGATGTGACCAAATGCAGGAGGCCAAGGGACAGAAGCATATGCAAACCCTGGGGGCAGAGAGGCAGGACCGGGTGGGAAGCAGTGTAGTAAAGGTGTCCAGGCTGGGGTCTAGCACTATGGCGACAGCAGCAGAAGGGCCAGGGCACTGGGATGGGGGCAGGGAGGCAGCAGGCAGCCTTGCAGCAGAGGAAAGAGCATGGTGAGTGGAACACAAGCCAGGGGGCCACATGGGGGAACCTAGGGGCATAAGCCTGGCAGGAGTGGGTGGGGTGAGGGCAGGGACGAGGCCAGCGGGCAGCACGCCCTCAGAGGAGCCCTGCTCAGCAGCTGCAGGGTGGCCCCAGGGGCACATGGCCAGGCCCTGCTGGCCTGGTCTTCTCCACCCACGTTCTCAGCACATCTTCGTGCGCCATCACTCAGCACGCCCTGCACCCACCTCCCAGAAAAGAAGTGGTACCCGGCACTAGCCCACAGCCGGCCTTCACAGCACGCCTCACAGTGGAAACAGAATAAAATGTGCTTCTCCGTATGAAGTCGAAGGAGGCAGATGCTGTGCTGTGGGGGGACTTGAACTGGGCCCTGCACTTGACCCTCGAGGCCCCCTGACATGGCAGAGAACAGGCGCACAGACAGTGACTCCGCAGGTGGACTGGAGTCAATCACACGGGTGGCACCACTACCCCATCGCAGAGGCCCAAAACCTCCTCACGGCCACTTGGGGCTGCAGGCCACCCCCACTCATCACAATCCAATCCTGCTCCTCCCCAGCTCAGACCCTACAGGAATGCGGTTCCTCTTCCCCTTTACCGAGTCCCAGCCCAGATGTCATGTCCCCAGCACGGCCCTCCCGCCCCCTTCCTGCACATCGAGACTCTGGCAGAAACGTGCCTATGGCGCTTCGGCGATACCAGATGCCCCTCGCTGCAGCGCTCAGGGGTGACAGAGCAGGCAGGCTGGGATTTGCTCTAAAATAATTCCACAAAGAAAACAGGTAAAAGAGCTTCAAGAAGGAAACAGGACGAAGGACCAACCATCTGGATGATGGGTGTATGCGTGAACACCCTAAATAAGGGAACTTCTTTCCACCCCAGGTCCCCATGTGAGCACTTGTTCCACGTCCCCCTCCCCGCCAGCCCGGACGCCCCGGGAGGCCAGGGGCAGACCAAGTGAAAGGGCACAGGTTCCTGGGCTCCTCTACCTCCTGGCCATCCTGGGAGCCTGCAGCGCGGGGCAAAAGGGGAATGAGAGCCTCGCTCCCAAGGGCCCGGAGGCAGGCACGCAGGTCGGGGGAGTGGACAGGCATCGGGGCTTCCTCCTCTAACTGCCCACGGCCCAGCTGGGAGCTCGGGATGCTTCCAGTCTGCAGGCAGCCAAGAGCCAACGCAAATAACAATCCCCCACCCAGAAAGTCGTCCAGTGACACCCCGCCAGCAGACTTTCAAACTTGCTCTTCCTTCTGTGTGAGGCGTGAGCACATCCCGGACAGGGGTAAGGCCAGGCCCGGGGGGCACCGTGCCTGCGGGGGCTGGACTGGAGAAAATCAGACAAGAGGTGGGGCCAACGTCCCTTCCTGGCAGAAGACGCTCAGAGGGCAGAAGCTGGGCATGGGCAGGGGGACTCTAACCTCTCTCCCCCACTTTCCTAGGAGTCTACATCTCTAGAGCAAACTTTACTCAGGGGCGCCTGGATGCTCAGTCGGTTTGAGCATCTGACTCTTGGTTTCAGCTCAGGTCATGATCTCAGGGTCCTGGGATTGGGCTGGGAGGCCAGGGGCCTGCTGGAGATTCTCTCTCTCTGGCCCCCCGCCCCGATCACTTGCATGCGCACATGCACTCTCTCTAAAATAGATAAATTTTTAAAAATTTTTTTAAAAAATAAAGCAAACCTTACTTAATAGAAAAAGCGGGGGCAGTGATGGCAGAATCTGTGGGGAAGAACATTCTGACTCGGGAAAGGTGGAGCCTGTCATCCACACCTGAGAAACGAGCGCGTTTCAAGGCTCAATCCCCTTACCTTCAAACACCTGATGGTTGTTTCTGAGCAGCGTCTGCAGGCCTCCACATTCCCGCTTCAACCTCTGCAGCGTCCCCCTGTCCAGCTTACGGGCTACTTCCGCCAAGGAGAGGCTTCCTGTGGAAAATCGGGTTTCCCCAACAATATAAAGGCCATTGGAGACTGTTAGCCAGGCAGGCTCACCGCCCTGGCACAACGGTTCTAGCTGCGTCAGTTCCGGCCCCTCACGCACGTCAGGAGGGGCCGTGAGATCTACCTTTGCTCTGAGTCCACACCAGACAACATGGAGCTGGAACGACATGGGTCAGGCTGCCACCACCTGGGACGCCAGGGACTTCCCACCTGCCAGGCCCTGCACCTGGGGTCTCACCCACGCCCACCCAACAACTCTGTAGGCCAGCAGAGACAGCCCTGCCTCCCACAGAAAAGCAGTGCTGGCGTGTGGCCCAGCCCCGGACGCCCAGGGGAGCAGCTGTTCTGTGGCTGGGATTCCATCTACCAAAGCCCGGACGGCCTTCAAGATGCACCTCTCAGCTGCCTCAAACTCGTTCCGAGAGCAAGCAGGACATCTAAGGAGAAGGCTGAAACCAGCCTGGGCGGTTCCCTGCCCCTCCCAGGAGGGGTCACATGCAGGCTGCGGAGGGGTCACTAAATTCCAGCAACCAAAAGGTGGGAAGACAACCTGAGGGCAGGAACCTGTGGGCTGAGAGGCCAAGGGCGCAGGTCCACCCCACTGGAGCACCTCAGGCCAGCCCCAGACACTGAGGCCCATGCGGGGAGGATGGCCTACCAGCTCTACAGGTGTTTCCGCTGGGCAGGCAGGCCCAAGACCCAAGACTCAGAGCCACCCGCTATCTACGTCTGAGCCTAGAAGAAGAACCAGTCTGCTACGGCCAGAGTTCTGTCCCAGGCACAGGCAAGCACCTCTTAAGCTCAGTCATTCCTGGGGTCTGAAGGTCAAACTACACATTTTCAGACTCACCCAAATGTCTCTGAGGCGCCTGCCCGCCTGCTGTGGACTCCCTGCCCTTCGAGGTCCCACTGGAAGCCGCCCACCCAGCTTGCCTTCCTCTTCACTCAGGCCCCGCCTCAGCATGGCACACCAGGAAGTGGGGTGCCGACCCACAGAGCAGTCCACGGCGCCTCAGGCTGGCGCCCAATTACATGGATGCTCAGCCACCTGCAGCGGGGGGCTCTGGCCGGGGCTGCCACCACATCCCTAGAGAGGCCCTCCCGATCAGACGCCACCAGGGTCAGTGATTCGCAGAGAAGGGGAGATGCTCCACGGCACTGCCCCGTGGCAAGTACACGAGAGCCGTGCAGGCTCAGAGCAGGACAGCATCACGGGTCGGGGAGGCCAGGCTTGCCGCCTCCTCCCGGGACCCCCACTCACAAGCCAGCCAGGCATCAGCCCCTGACAGAGTAAGGGAGGGCTCCCCCAGGTCCTCCAATGACCCCAAAAACTCAGAGGCAAGTCTCTGGTGCTGCCAGACCCAGCCAGCTCTACAGCGCCCTCTGGCGCCACCGGGCAGGAAAGAAACCAGCTTGGACCAGCCAGCGGCCTAGGACTCCACTCTCTACAAAAATAACGGAAGCTCACACTTTGGTCCCTATCTCTCTTGAATGCCACTGATTTCAGCACGTTACTCATCCCATGAGAATAATCAAATACGATTTTCTCTGATCACGTCTGAGTTTTGCACTATGGGGATTTCAAAGAGAATCACGTTATCAGACTATGTCTCTGAAATGTTACCTTATTGTCAAGAGGACAGCGCACTTTCCCAGCATTCAGGACTCTGTTTTTGGTTTGGATAACTCCTATAAATTGAAAATAAAGGGCTCCACACCCTGAAGCCTGGACAATTTTGTAAAGGTTAATCACCCCTCTGCCCTCAGCACCTTGCTCTGAGGGAATGGAGTCCTGCACATTAATGGGAACTGCAGGAAAACTTCAAACAATGAGTGTATAGTGGCCTGTTCATCATCGATGTCTCTTTAAAATACTCGTAATTAAAAACAACCACACAATTTTAAGTTGGTCCTAAAGGAGAGCCGAGCCACTGCCTGAAAACCAGCAGGCACGCAGCTGCTGGCGTCTGGGGGCCAGGGGCCGGGGGCCTACCTCCTCGGTTCCAGGCCTTCGAGCTGCTGCTTGGAGCACTTCCTGTGTGTAACTGCTCTCCATCCAACAGCAAATGTGCCACTTGCAAAACCACTCGGTCAATAAAATCTCGAGGGAGGGAGGCACAATTCCTCACGCGCTCAGCTTTTTCTCTAGCATGAAATCCAGACAGCCACAGTTGGTCGGCTCGGGCCTCGGCCCCTCCCTCAGCAGCCTCGGCGTCCGGGGCCTGGTGCCCGTCGGGGTGGCCCGCGTGTCCCACAGCGGCCCGGGGTGCAGGAGGGGCGGGCGCCTCGCCACGTGGGCTCATGGGGCGGCCCCGCCTGCTGTTAATGTACTGGGTTCTCTGCTCATCCATGGAACCTTCTCCAGCAGGTGAGTATGTTCTGGATTTCCCAATGAGACAAACCTGCATGTGAAAAACAGCAGAGTATTTTACCAGGCTCCTAGAGTATGTCCCCGGTTTCCATTCAATTCTCTTGTTCTGCAATACAGATTAGAGTTTTAGACATTTATCGTGAAAGAAATGCTTATTCTAAAAATGTCCAAAATAAACCAAAAGCAAAAGCCCATGAAGAATCTCAAGGCTTGGACTCTGGTAGCCCTAACACAAGCACATAAATCTTGAGTCCACACCTACAGAGCTTACGGCTGGGCCCGCTCTGAACACTCACTTGAGGGAGCCTTTGTGTGACCCCCAAGTGCGGACACCGATGGTAAGCTAGAGCTCTCAAAATGAGCCGTCCTTCTCTGGACCTGAGGCGGCGCCAATGCTCATTCCATGCTCTCTCCTCAGTACATCCAGATGAAGGATGCTGCACAGGCGTCCCCAGGGCGAGTGAGCCTGGGCCAGCGACACCACCCCGAGCACAGCGTCTCTGGACTTCCTCCCCGGGCAGGAGCTACAAAGCCAGGTTACAGGCACTGAAAGAAAGCAGCTCTAATCGCATCAGAGGCACCCCTCACTATGCCCCAGCGTGATCCTGGGCAAGTGACGTAACGTCTCTGCGTGGCAACAAGCATGTGGGGCATCATCAGCCCTCACTGAATAGCCGCTATGTGTGGCCACCTGCTCTTCCATTTGCCCCCAAACCACCGAATTACAAGAAAGCTGAGACTCAGGGCGCCTGGGTGGCTCAGTCGTTAAGAGTCTGCTTTTGGCTCGGGTCATGGTCCCAGGGTCCTGGGATCAAGCCCCACGTCTGGCTCCCTGCTCGGCTGGGAGCCTGCTTCTCCCTCTGCCTCTCCCCCTGCTCGTGCTCTCTCTCTATCTCTGTGTCTCGAATGAATAAAATCTTTAAAAAAAACAATTTTTTTTTAAAAAAAAGGAAGCTGAGGCTGAGATTAAGGACTGGTACTTGGCCTCCAGCAAGAAAATGGAAAGACAAGTGCAAAAACCCAAACTGGGGGATCCTTGTACCCACACGACCCAAATCCCAGCGGTTCCCAGACTCAATCACAGCTTCAGTGGCGTGACTTGCCGACATGAGGGCATTTCTTACGAGGACACCATGGCTCCGAAGCGGGGTCCTAAAGGAAGCTTTCAGAGTGACCTGAGCAGTGACCGCGTGGGCAGCACTGACGTACCTGAGGCCGAGTGGGCCGCACTCACCGCCACCACTGAGCGTTGTCTCCTCCCCGCTGGGCACACGGGGACACGGGCACGGTTTGCAATGTGCCCAGGAGTTCACGGCTAGCAGGTGGCAGAGCGAAGAGCTCACCTCACACCTGTCTTGGATCCTTTTTGCCACGTCAAGCAATCAAGCTTATAATTTGGATATGATGGGTTTTTGTGTTTTGCTGGTCAAAAAAGCACACTGATGGCCATGAAGTCTGATAAAAGGAAGCTATCAGAGATTTTCACAGACTAATGGCTCAGAGGGTGAGCGGGAACATGGCCGAGTCCGCCCTGACCACCTGGCAGGGTCACAGAGGGCACACTAGCTGTTTTCACAGACTGGGAACGGGTAAAGGTCTGTCTGGGCAAATTACCTTTCAGGTAAATCTGAATTAATGAAGCATGTAAGGAGAAAATGGGAATCATTCTGAACTTCTGAACCAAACTTCAATTTCGGCCAATCACTGGGGAACCCGAGGAGTCGGAACTTAGAGCGGGAAGCCTCAGACAACACTCGGGCCACCGCTACACAAGTCAGGCTGACGCCCACTCTGGACAGGTCCCCGAGGGCCACGCGCAGTTTCTGGGAAGGAAATGAAGACTCGGCGAGGGTCCTGGAAAGCCGCCACGGAAGGGGCCGTGGGGGCAAAACAAGCCCTCCGAACACGACCTGTGGCCGAGACACTGAGATCACCACAGGCAGCTCCTAGGTCGCACCCAGTGTTGAACACCAGTGTCCCCTGTGGTTCTGTTACACAGCCCTCAGCCCCCCATCCAGACGCCAGCACCTCACCAAGGACAGTGAGCCCCCGGTGACCAGGACGCACCCTTTTGGTTGAGGGAATGCGCAGGCAGTCCTCCTCGACGTGAAACCCGCAGGCCAGCCCCACTTCCACGATGAAATCAAGGTACTCTCGGTACTGAGTCTTCCGGCTCTGCCTCCGGGAGTATTTCCCAGTGAAGTCAAAGAAGCAGCAGGGAAGGACAAAGAAACGGCAGCCGTAGGAGGACCTTCAAAATCAATCCACAAAAAACAAAATTCAGCGGAAAGCCACATCGTGCATTGGGGTAACATATGTACGTGTGCTGGTGGCTGCTCATGTTTTCTGATGAGAAAATGAGTAACAGCTCTCCCTAATTCAATTTCTAGAAACAATGCAGCATGGCATGCCTTCCCCATAAAACATGAATCTAATTACCTTTATAAAAACTTTCCCCGGGCACCTGGGTGGCTCAGTCGGTTGGGCGACTGCCTTTGGCTCACGTCATGATCCTGGAGTCCTGGGATCGAGTCCCGCATCGGGCTCCCCGCTCAGCGGAGAGTCTGCTTCTCCCTCTGACCCTTCCCCCTCTCATGTTCTCTCGCTCTCTCATTCTATCAAATAAATAAATAAAATCTTAAAAAAAAAAAAAAAACCTTCCCCATTGCAGTTGTTCTGGCCAACTGAAACGTAAGACTTCCCGAAGCGCCTGAGGCTCCGGCTGGCAGGGAGGGACGTCGGAGGCAGACATGCAAAGACTAAGACGTGCTCCTTGACCGACGTTATCCTCCGAGAGCTAGGACCCTGGATGCGGAGCCACAGCCACAAAACCTTCAGGCCAGCGACGTCACCTGCATCTTCGCGACGTCTCCTCCTGACCTAGAAGCACCGCCACCCTGCGTACAGCCCCTGGGCCAAGAACTAAATATTGCTGCAAGTGTCACTATGTTCACAGAATTTTCCTTTGAAGACCGACCCTTGTTGTCAGAAAAAAGCTTCCAAAACATGACCTGTCTCTCAACACTGGCTATAAACACCGCAGAAGTCATCAGTTTTCATCACACCGTTCAATAGAAGAATGCCGTGAACCACATTTGTGACCTTATCTTTTCCAGCCAGGCAGAATTTAACTGACCTGACAGACTCGGCACATGATCCTTTCAACAATTTGAACCAGCTCCATTTCCAGTGTTGGACAGACACCAGGCAGCTAGATGTGGACAGCGAGGTTTGGGCACCACAACATGCCCTGCCATCCACCCTGCCACCCGGACCGCCTGCTCACCTGGCCGCAATAACAGGTATCCATGGTGTTAGTTCATCGGAATGGTTACCAATTAACCAGTCAACGTCAGGGAAAAGGTTCTTATCATTTGGTGTGATTGCACCTTCCTAAAGAAAAACACAAAACAAGACCACGTGTTCAGTAGAGCAGCACAGAGCTACTGAGGCAAGGCCCCGCAGAACCTCGGCTTGCTGGGCGTGGTCTCAGCCCCCCCCCACCCCCGGGGCCTTGTGGATACTGGGCAGGCACCTGAAGGTAGAGCCGTGTCTGCCCCACAGGCCATGAAATAGGGCGGCTTCTAGCGTCATCTCTAGAGAAACCAACAATGCCCTCCGAGGGCTAATCGCTTTTTGATCCGTACAAATGTGCTTCTGTTCACTAACATACAAGGAGCTGCAGGAGGTGGGACAAAGCAACCATTTCCACACTCCAGGACATTGGAGCCAGAAAGGGCCTTAGGAGCAAGTGAGTCGAAAGCAAGCAGGTCTGAAGTTGATTTCAGTGTGTAAATAATGCATCACGCAACCTCACATGTGTGGACGTACGTGACAAAGCACACCCATGACAGCGCAGGAAAGGTATGAGAGGCGGGGGCAGGGGGTGGTTTCTGTTTAGCAGAGTAAGTGCTACTGTGCTATCCTCTGTAAACACTCAGACACCAAGTAAAAAACCCACTCCAGAGGCAGGTTAACCATTCTGTAATTAAACCGAAAACAGCTTGATTTTATGATTTAAGAATGGCCATCATGAATGATCAAAGTCAGGCCCCAACAGTGGGTCTGTTGGTAAGAACTAGAAAGACAGAGAGAAAAGATACGACCACTCAAAATCCTCCTAATTTTAAAACTGAAGAACGAACCCCCAAGGGAAGCAAGCGCAGCTGCCATTTCTTGATCAGAACAAATTGAGAAGACATTATGACAACCTCACGTTCAAGGCCATCCCTCAGGACAACAAAACTATGGGTCTTTTGCAGACGTGATGTATACAAAAGTGGAATTTAAACTCTACAATCTTTCTGGTTCTTAAATAAGCATCTGGACTTCTACTTACATGTTAAAACACCGAAGACAGTACGGCTCAATGGATTTATACATAATTTAAAAGCAGGAAAAACAAACCTTTGATATTATACTCTATTCCCACCCCATCTAGATTTAGTTGCCTATTTCCCTTTAAATGGCCTGCATGAATAAAAACATAATTTACAGCTGCTATTATTTAAGATGGGTGGTTTTTTTCTTAGCAGTCTCTTGCTTACAATCGAATGACGGTTTTGAAAGAAGCTGGACACTCATGCTCGGCTTTTGACGGTGCAGATAAAGACAACGGGCCCACAGAGGCAGCCATGAACTCCCTTCCACAAATCGTTTTTATTTTTTGCAATATCATTCTCAACTTTAAAAGAAAGTAAGGCAGAAAGTATAAAAAGAGTCTCGGAGTCTTACTATTGACAGATGAAATGGCAGAGCTGAGATCTGTTTCCCAAGAGCAGCAGGCCGAGTGGGGGCTAAAGGGGTAACTGTGACGTCCATGAGCCGCCCGGATGCTCACTCTTGTCCATGCGCCCTTGCGTTGTCCACAAAAGTGAGCATGAGAAGTGCCGTGAGCACTCTGCCCAGCTCGGAGGCTGCGACCAGACACCAACGCCACGAACACTGGACACCAGACCTGACGTGGGACTGCTGCTCAGGGGGCCGGTCACTCTCTCCCTTGGGGAGAAAGTCCTCTCTGACTGGTACCAGGACAACTGAGCTACTCCTGAGCAAGGCCGCAGGCACCTGGGTTCACTGTGGCCCAAGGGTCATGGGCTCTGGAGGCCGGGCCACTAGATGGCTCACAGCAAATGTGTAGCCCACCTTCATAGCTCCACGAGGCGTCCACACACCTGCAGCCTCGCCCCAGCCCGGCTGCATTTTACCTTCCTACCCTGGAGTCCTCAGCACCTGCCCCTTGCTGAGAGGCCCTCCCGGCCACCCCATATACACGGCACGACCTGGCCCCACAGAGGCCCCCTCACCCTCCTCAGCATGTACCACACCTGCCACCCAGCACCCACTCTGTATCCATGGGTGTTCCCCACCCCCACGAGGGCAGGAGCCTTTTGTCACTGTTGAAATGCCAGCACCTGAGAAAGCCTGGCAGGTTGACGGCATTCAAATATTTGGTAAATATGCAAATCTCTACTTTTTCTCCTGTTTGTTTTTTTTTTTTTGGATGCATCTCATAGCATCAAAACTCTTTCTGAGAGCGTATTTGAAGTAAAACCTTTCTGAAAACCATTATGACAATATCATCCCCAAACTTCTCAAGTTCGGCCTATGACAGATTTTCTTTTAAGTGGACTAAGACAGATGCACGAGGATTTATGTAGTGTAACCTGTCATCTGAAAACACGGTCAAGAACAGGAGGTGAGCCGAGAGGCAGTGTGCGTGTGCCCTGCCCTCCAGGCGCAGTGGGCGGGACAAGGGACTGACTGCTGGCACCGCGTGAGGACTAGTTAACACGCATGAGGTACCTAGAAAGGTCAGCACCGGGCACACTCATGAAAACAACGGCCCCTAGGGGACAATCATGCTGAGAGCAAACAAATGAACAAGGTCAGTACCTCTAAGCAAGTTTGTGGTCCATACATGTCCCAGATTTTTCTTCTTCGGACATCGATCCCTCTGCCTGGATGCTAAAAGAATTTCAGAAATCAAAGGTCAACATCGGTACTTCATAATAAGTGAGCAAGACAAATTAAAACTCTGCAGGGACTGCCACCATTGTGAAGTGCAAGAGACCCGGATGGCACCCGCAGTTTCTCAGCAATTGAAACAGGTCAGGGCCTGCACTCTGCTAAGGGTCACCAGAAGTCTTCACGAAGGGGAAATGGAGTCGTGTGGGAACGTGTCTGAAGCCAGTGGCCCAGGAGACACATCTGGACACAGAGCCCCTCTCTCGTGGCCCAGAGTCAAGTCCAGACCCCAGCACGTCCGCCCCCGCAGCTTGCCAGGAGACAAGGCCCGTCCCCTGCAGCTGTTTTCTCCCCCAGGATGCGTGCCCGTGCCCGCCGGCTCTCACGGGGCAACTGTGCTCATTTCCAAGTTGCGGGGAGAGGAGACATGCATGAGGTAGCCCGTCCTCCTCACTTACCAGCCTGCAGGTCACCACCTGATTGCTGACCACCCCCAACACCTTGTTTACAGGTATTACCATTACAAACTCATTTTTTTAATAAAGTAAATAAAATGTACATTCTAACAACCCCATATCAAGTTTCTACAGCTGTGGACAGAGTGCCTCTCGCACAGGGCAGAATGCTACTATCAGAAGTCAGCCGGGGTCACCGGGTGTCAGCACCGCACCTCCCACAGTGACTCCGCAGGAAAGCTGGACGCCGGCCCGAAGCACCGGCCCGGGCAGCTCGTGGCTCGCACTGAAACGCCTGCTCCGAGTGACAGGGGCTGTTCTAAGTACATCCCGCCTTTACTTCACGGATCCAGAAACGGCGCCCACACCAGTGTCACCAGTGTCCATCACAGCAGGAGTGTAACTGGCCTCTGAGCCGGGACTCCAGCTTCTGGGGGGCAGAACCCACTGCTTCTCATTCCCCCTCCGGTGCCCTGACATGCCGCGTTTCCCAAAGAGCCCCTGACGGCCACGACAGCCGTGCTGCACAACGCCTGTCATCCAGCTGCACAGGCCGCCTACTCTCCTCGGTCCCAGCCCAACAACCAGGCAGACTCTGGATCCAGCTCGTACCAGCAGAGAAAGACCTCAAGCACCCTTGTGCAGGAAAAGGAAGTAGAACGGCCAAGGAAGCGCACCTTACCCCCTCTGTGCTCAGGATGTGCACCAGGAGACCATTCCCGCATCCTAAGTCAACAAAGGACTGCTTGGCCGTCAAGCCTCGCTCGGCTCTTTCTTCTTCCCACAAAATCTAAGTTACAAAAAAAAAAAAAATCAGTTCCTGATTCATTCTCTCCAAGAATAATTCAGACACAAGCCCTGCATGGGATTACAAATCACATTTCCAGGACAGGCAGACAGGCCTCGTCTGGGGCCCTGGGTCTGCGCAGGTGACACAGAGGGAGTTGCCCTCACCTGATGCTGCAGGGGCATCGAAGCTGTCCCCTGCCAGCAAGAGTCCACATGAAAGTGGTCCTTTCTGGGCAAGAGCTTTACAGATTACTGTACCGCAGTACTGTACTGTACCTCATGCCTTCTCTGTTCTTCTAGGCTGTATACTCTGATAATCAAAGCAAAATATGCTATTTCTAAAAAGGCTCTGAGAATCACAGATGAAAGGAAATTAGAAATTATCTGGCCTAAACATTTGTTAGATAAGAAAATCAAGACCATTAAGTCAAGGGCACACCCAAATCTGGGGGCTAGTGAGCTAGCTAAGGATGGACCGAGGAGTGGAGGGGTCCCGTCAGCAGCATGAGTGGTACAGTGCCTCCGTGGTGAGGGTGCGTCAGGAACGCCCCGGCTGAGCTGAAGCCCCTGCGGTCTGGCCTCACGGCGCAGACGTGTTCCTCACTCACACACACAAACTAGTGCACGCGCTACCAAGCCGGCATGCTAAGTTATGGATTTGATGAATGTTGCTCCCCACCGGTAGCGGCGGCAGGCAGCGACCTTCCCCCACCCCAGAAGGGCTTGGGTGACTGAACACGTGCTTACCAGCAGGTACGCAGCAATGGCCACATCTTCATACACAAACTTTTCGGGATCGGTTACTTCAGGCCACACCTAAAACATTTTCCAGAGTGTATGTAACTGTTCACTCATCACCCTGCCATTTCACTACACGTAAAGTATCCCCATCAGCATAAGTCAAATGAGACTAACCAGGCAGTAAAATTTTTTTAAAAAGCTCATTCCAAAGGCAGACATTGATGATCCCTCTCTTACAGTAAGAGAGTGGCATAAAGACACGCAAAACCTTTACCGCATATGCGTGTAACGGGACATGTCAAGAGCAATGCAGTCCAAAGCAAGATTTTGCAACGAAAACAACCTATGTAGCTATTTAGATGAGGCAACTGGACACTGAGGAAAATGCTCAGTTCGCCCGCTCCATCGTTTATGTAGATGAGGAAAACAAACAAAGACGCTCGGACGAGGAAAGCAAAGGGGTCAGGAGGCTGGGGCTCCAGGCTTCTGGTCTGCTGGTGCCGGACGGCCACTTGCTCAGGAGCAGCACTCAGCAGGTGGTCCCCATCTCCCTGTCTGGATGCTGAAGCCTTCGCCGCCACACGGGACAACTAGCAGGTGCTCCGCAAGCCGCAGCACATTGGCCGCACAAGCCTGACACCTCACTGCTCACACGGGTCACGTGCACAACAGACAGCCAGCAGAAGAGGAAAAACCCACGACAAGGCTACACATTCCAATTTCCGTGTCTAGTCATGGGGGTCAGACGGGTCGGTCTGTCTCACTAAGGACAACTGCAAAGGCCGGAATAATAGATGAAGTCCTTTCCGGAAGGAACTGAATAGTTAATAAGATAACGAAGGTCTCTCAGGCCAGGATCTGAAAGAGAAGGAGCCCCCTGCTTAGGTCGGCCAGGTCTAGGACCCACACACTTCAGCAAGAATGAAAAAGGTCACTGTCTCCAGCCTGTGACCTTTGGGGTGCTCTGTTACACAACAATAGCTAACTGATAAAAAACAAACAAACAAAACAGCAACAACAAAAAACACATGTGGGTGCCTGGGTGGCTCAGTCAGTTAAGCATCTGACTCTTAATTTCAGCTCAGGTCATGATCTCAGGGTCATGGGATCGAGCCCCACATCGTTCTGCGCTGAACACGGACCCTGCTTAAGATTCTCTCCTCTGCAACCCACCTCAAACAAAACAGAAAAACACATACAGAAATGACAAATCATGGTTCCTTCCAGAAAGAGGGCCATATGCTGGGAAGACTACAAAAGAAGTTCAGCTACATTAGGGAAGCTTTATTTCTTCCTCCAGGTGTGAGCACAGAGGTTTGCTGTTACTTTCTCTTTATATCTTAAATACAAAGTTAAGGACATGTTCTGATATTTATCTCCTTTATGGAAATATATGCTTTTACACTTTAATTTTTCATATCTTTTCTTTAAACATCCTTAAATTTATATAAGGAAATGTAGCAATTTTGTAACTAATATCCAATTATTTTCATTCAAATACTTTTATTTGCTTGGAAAAAAATTAGCAATGTGCAAAAAAAAAAAAAGGAAAAGATCCTTTTCCATCTGTCAACAGTTTTGCAGTTTGCATCCCTACGTATGTCGAAACACAGCCTGCAATGTGGGCCTTTAAGTGGCTATGTTTTGACTTGATGTCTGTGTCTGCATACACCAGAAAGTTTACTGGAAAAATGGTTTCACCTGGTACAGTCTGGTCAATGTCCCCTCATCAAAACAAGGGGATCACGAATGTTTCCCCAGTTACCTTGACCATGTCTTTATACTTCTCCTTGAGCATCTGGTATGTCTTGCTGTATTTGATGATGGAAATGAGGGACAGGGTGCTCTTAAATCCGCTCCTCTTGCTCTCCACAGACCACCGGGCCAGCCTGGCCAGCAGCTCTCCTCCCAGCCAGGCAGGTTTGGGGTAAACAATGCCATCTGAATGCCATCTTTCTGGACAGAAAATTAAAATAGATATGAACCTTTAAAAATAAGAGAAATATGAATAAGCAGAGCTAGTTTCAATTCTTATTTTTAAATTAAACATTTACCAAAAAAAGAGTACATATTAAGACAGCTATAATTACAGAATATTTGACCTGAAACCCAACGATTGGGAACTAGCTGCAGAACTTTCAACAAAGAGAGAAAAACACATTTTTTAAAAGCAGAAAGAATTCTTCTCTTATAAACGCTGTTAAAAATGCGTCTACCCATCCTATGAAGCCCATCAGAAGGATGGACAAGTAACAAAGCTCCTCCTACCGTCTGCTTCACGCATTGATTAGCCAGGTTCTGATTAGCCAGGTTCCAGATGTCTCAGGATTTTTCTAACATTCTGTTTTTGTATGTTTTCACATGTGCAACTCAAGTGTGAGTAGACTGGCTCACCAAATACTTCCTGGCCAAAAGTGCAGCGCTCGGCCCCCTGCAGCTCACGGGTTTGCGTTCTGTGTCTCCTGCCACTGTTACCTGCCCCGCGCCAGATGCACAGCAGGTCCTCTCTGTCCGTGTGTTTGAACACACGAGTAAAAGCTCACACCCATGAGCCCAGAGCACAATATACTGTCTGAGGACACGATTCAGGCAGCACAATAAGGGAGAGCATCCAATTTGTCAGGCAGATAGAGAAGGCTACAAAAAAGGTGGCATTCAACAGGGGCCCTAAGGACAAGTGGAGGCACAGGCAGCTGGGCGAGAGGGGCAGAAGCAGGACTGTCCGGATTTTGGCCACGCTGAGCATCGGAGGGACACAAGTAACAGGCACCGACTGTCCACTGGGAGGTGCACCCCGGGGAGCTCACACTGTGGGAAGAGCCTGGGAAGGACTCGGGCTGCTCCTCTTTCCCATCCCGGCACCCGGAAGCTCTCCTGCCGGGGCCGGCACACCCTACCAGGCCCCTCCCCGGCTCGTCCCCGGGCTTCATGCTCTTCTCCCAGGTGCCCTCCAGAGTCCCCACCGCCTACTTGCTCATCCACTCAGGTCTCACTTGGGATGACCCGTCCTCAGAGGCACTGCCACCCGCTCTGCGTGGACCTGACACAACACCGCCTTTGCTACCAAGGGGACGTGGGAACAGAGACATGTTTCACCTGTTTTCTGGCACACCACGGTACTTAGCACTACCTGGTGGTGGAGCATGTCTCTGTGTCACGCCGCTCCTCGCAGAGCACATGGTGCGGCGGGCGCACACCAACACTGCTGTGATGACAGGAGCCAACGAGGAGCGCTGTGTGCTACAGCGGTGGTCCAGTCAACCCCCATTTAACTGGCGCTCAATAGCTGGCCCGAGTGCCCAAAGGGATGTAAGGGACAGCTGCCCAGGGGCGCGAGGACAGGAAACGCCAACCCGGAAAGACGGGAAGCAGGTAGCCGAGAGCGAGGCCTCAGTCCGTCAGCGAAGAATGTGACTGCCAGGCACAGAGCGTACCACGTGCTGCTACGGCCGCGCCACACCGGGCACCAGGCACCCGCACGGCAGCCTCGAGCACATGCCTCCGGTGGCCACCCGCCAGCTCTGCCATCGGCGCCCCCCCCCCGGGAGCGCCACAGGAGACACGCTTTCCCCCACGTGCCTGCTCCCAGTCCCCACTTTCCAACACAAGCATGCCGAGGAAGGGCCTGGGGCCAGGCCCCTCGAGCAGTCTCTAGACAATGCTAAGAGGCTTCAGCCAGGCCCTAAGTATTGCCATCGAGCTTCTATGCCTGCAACAGGTCCTTATGAAGCCTGGGCCCCTCCTCAGAGGCTTAAGAATTATTTAACCCCTCGCACAGGTGAGAAGACCGAGGACCACAGAGACGACGTTCCAAGGTCACATGGCTAGTGGGCAAACCCAGGTCCGTCCGACTGCACAACAGTGTCTTCACACTGTACTCCTCTGCTTTATACAAAGCCACATGCCAAGCCCAGTCTGATCTAACAGACAGCAATCCCCAAGGTTGTTCTGGAAAGTACAGACAGATGTGGCTCTCAGGAAAGGAGCAGCAGCAGAGTGATTAAGTGAACGTACCCTTCCTCTGACTTTTCCATTTAAAAAATACCAAATGGAAGTAAACCAAATTTCACACTTGGGGTACAGGCCCAAATACCACACGGAAATAAGGGGGCTACTGAACTGCTACTTTCGTGATAAGCACCACTGAATACCCACTACATCCAAAACCACATGAGCCTCAGCAAGAAATAACAAAGGAAGATACCCTCACTCCCCATTCCCAAGTTGTAAAAAAAGAAAATAATAAAAGGATTTGCGATTACTTGAATTCGGCTAAACCTCGGTGCTACTCATCATCCCGGCTACGTGGACTGTAAAGAATACAGACCCAGGCCCGGTGCCAAGAGGAACAAAGACACGCCAAGGAAAGGCCAACTAGAAACAGGAAACATGTTCTCACACACCTTAGCTGCCAAGGGCACCTTCAGCTCTTCAATGACCCTGAATCCTGCAGCTACCCAGATGTGTGACAGAAACCACACAGCCCTAGAAGAGGACTCCATTCTGTAGCTCTTACCATTCTTCCTGGCTCTGACTGAGCCGGACTTGATACACGTTGCTCATCTCAACCTTTACATTCCCTCTGTCATCTTCTTCCAAAGGTAAAAAAGTTACAGTTCCATTTAGGACATCTGGGGAATAAAAGACAGGGATAACCAATTAAAACTGCTTGGTTCAGCATTTTATCAGAAGCAGTATTAAACAGTCATGACTCAGCCCGACTTTGCTCTCCTAGGGCTTTCCCTCTGCCTCCCTTTACCACAGACATGTTTTATGTCCTATCCACTGCTGCATCCTGAGCCTACAGGGCGCCAGGCCCACGCAGCAGATGCGCTCAGCAGGAGCTGAAGGTAGAAAGTCGCTGTAGAGGAGCACTGCTTCTCCCCCGCAGGGAAGCCAATCTGGGAATGCAGATGCCTACATCTGAAGGCCTCGGGGGCACTGACTCACCAACCTCTGTCGGGTAGAAGGAGATGTAGAAGGTGATCAAACACCAGTGATCAAAGCTGGAAGAGCTCCTAAGTTCATCTGGACATGATAGGGTCACGGAGAGCCTCCTGGCAGAGCAGACACTTCAAGTCTTGCAGGGGCACAGAGGCAGTGTTGGGAAGTGGGGGTGGGAGGGAAGGCACCTACAGCGATTTGGCATTGCTGCGTGTGATACCACAGCCTCTCGAAGGCGATCGCGCCCTAATACCCACAGCCTGAGTCTGTGCCATGTGACAAGGCACAGAGGGACTCTGCAGATGTGACGAGGCTCCAGACCTCAGGAAAGGGAGTAGTCGGGATGAGGCAGGTGGGCTCAGGCCAGTCACAGGGGCCTGAAAAAGCCGAGAACTTTCTCCAGCTGGAGGCAGAAGAGGAGTTTGCAAGCATGAGAAGGACTGGTGCAGGCTCTGAGACGCAAGAACCCGAGGGAGGCCTCCAGCAGCTGCTCCAGGAGTGGGCCTTCCACTAATCTCTTCACCTGCTAAACTCCTATTCATCATTCGACATCTGGAGCTCCGTCACCTTGTCCCTCAAGCATTCTAGACACTCGCCCCCCCAACAATGACCCCATTCTCTGTACTAGAAATACACATATCTACATGTCCCCTCAAAAAACAGTAAGAAAAAAAAAATCTACAACCTCCCTAGGACATCGCAAAGGTACTGACCTAGTGAGTACCGTTAGAGCCTTTTCACTGACCTAAGGTTCAAAGAATGCTTTTTAATCTGACTGCATCCTGTGCCAAAGATTCTCTCTCTGACCAAACTCCAGCCAGGCTCTTCTGCGCCCTGTCTCAACTAAGCTTCAACTGGCCTTGAAGACTTCCACACTGGCACGGTTCCTAACAGCTCAAGGCTGCATCCCTAGAATGACCCGAGGCTCCCTCAAAGCTGCCAGGGCGGTCTCAGCCCTTACCTGAAGGTGGGCCCTTGTGTCCCCGCCTCCGGGGGGGGAGGAGCCTAACTTCCAGGCGCTCGAGGGGACATCCCGAAGGGAGTCACAAGGACCAAACCCCCTTTCGTTAATTTTCTCTTCCCTCACTCTACCTCTCACCATGAGAAACACTCTTTTACCTTGCACGACTACTTCTCTCCTCGGAGCAGCAAGCGGGCAATGAGGGCCTGTTTTCGGGATGACGGTTCTGAGAACCACGTCGAGCTCGCTTGGCGCCTCCGGCTGCGATCCCGCCCGGGACCCGGTAAGGAAGGCCAGCATCTCTGGATTGCCGCCGGCGAGGCTCCGAGAGAAAGCGTCCCAGAGAGAATCCAGATCCGAGGCAGGGAAATCGCCCTCCCCGACTCCAACCTTGCCGGGCTGCCCGGGAACCCCTGCGAGCTGAGCCGCGGCGGCTGCTTCCCTGGGGTCCTCCCCTTGCGGGCGCCGGAGCTGCGACTCCTCGGGCCCGCGACCCGCCGTGCCCAGCTCGGGGCCTGTGCTCGGCCCGGGGCCCAGGCCCCCATTGGGGGAGCGCTGACAGGGTCTGGCCGCAGCCCGCTTCTCCTGCTCCGGGCTAGTGTTGGGACTGTGGCCGCAGGCCTCCGCCCGGGGAAAACCAACACTCCGCCGGGCGTCCAGGCGGACGCCACACAGCCGTTTGTTGGCCACCTGAGGCCTCTCCAGCCACACGGCCACCGCCGCCCAGAAGCCCCCAGGGAGTAGCGCAACCGGGTCCCGCACAGCCGCCCTGCCAACCTCCGCCATAGTCCGTCAGCGCCAAGGGCTCCGCGGCTACGGCGCGCCGCGATGACGCACCGGGCGTCGCGGTCTGTGACGTCACGGGGAGGGCGGGGCGGAGGGGCCACCTACCCCGGGACGCTCCCGGGAGCGGCTCGCGCCGCGGAGACTCACCCTCGCTTCCCTCTCCGGGGCCGCCCTCGCGCCGTGTGCTGCCTGCAGGGGCGTGTCCCCGCTGTGCTCGGAGGACCGCCCTGGCCGTGGCGTGTGGACACTGCGTCGGGTTCGCCCGGGCCCGGGGCGCCCTTGGCGGGTGCGGACGCTGGCGGAGGTCCGGGGAGCGCGGACCTGCCCTCTGCGCGCGCCGGCTGGCCGCCCGCTGTCACCTGCGTGTCCCCTGACGGGTCGGGCCCCATGTCCAGTACAGTCTGCAGAATCTGCGCTATGCCAAAAACTCCGGGAGTCTTCATTCTCTTGGTGCCTTAGTCAGTCTGTTGGGGCTTTTATCACTCCCTGCAGAGTCGCTGTGGAGTCCAGGAGAAGCTAACTCAAAGCGTGTGATTTCTCGGAGAGAAGAGCATGCACCAGTGTCTGTGGAATTCAGTGAGGCGTAAATGAGTGATGTAACCTCAGACACACTTGTTGACGCCATTGGTCTTGGACCATGTGGTTCATTTTTATGTTGTCTGTATTGTCAACCTTAAAAACTGAAGAGCCAGTTACTTTGCTAGCAAAACGAGTTTATTCAGGAATAGCAGAGAAATTGCAGTTCCGCCCTGCAAGCTCTGGTGAACCATAGGCAAGTCTGGAGAGACGAGGAAAGGTCAGCTTCTGTTAGGTCTTAGGAGGAAATTGGGGAGGGGTGTTTTAAACAAAAGTTCAGTGGAGAAGAAGGCGAGTTCGAGGTTGGACAGTTTCTCGTTGGCTGCAAGCGCGCTTAATGCGCTGTTGCTGGGGTGGAGAGGGATCTTCCTTCTTTTTCTTAAAAGTAGGTGATGGAATTCCTATGTGAAAAATGTCCTCTCTTGTCACAAATAATTCTTTCTGCTGGTGATGCTCACTGCAGCGAGTGGTACTTATGTGAGTGTTTCCCCTTCAGGGCTTCCCGACTGTTATTTATTTGAGAGAGAGAGACAGAGAGAGAATGAGCAGGAGGGGCACAGAGAAAGAATCGCAAGCAGACTCCACGCTTAGCATGGAGCCCAGTACAGGGCTCAGTCTCACAACCCTGACATCATGACCTGAGTTGAAATCAAGAGTTGGACGCTTGAGAGACAGAGCCACCCAGGTGCCCTGCCCCTCCGCTGACTCCATTTTCAATGAGGCTTTCTTTCTTCCTTTCTTTCCTGGGGGCTACTCCGACAAATTACCACAAACTGGGTGGCTTGAAACAAAAGAAATTTATTCTCTCACAGTTCTGGAGGCTCTGAGAGAGAATACTCTTGCCTCTCTCCCAGTTTCTGATGGTTGCCAGCAATTGTTAGCGTTCCTGGACTGTGGCCACATAACTCAGCCTTCATGGTCCCACACTTTCTCTGTATCTCTTCTGCAAAGCCCCTATTTCCAAATAAGTCCACAGGTACAGTGGATTTGGACTTTGACCTGCTTTTTGAGGAAGGGGGGACATAATGCAACCCCTAACTCTGTCCAAAGGGGGTGTAGCCTGGTTGGAGCGGCCAAAAGATGAGTAATGACAAATCTCACCAGTTGCTAATATGTGGGGACGGACCTGCGCCAAGCATGGAGAATGCAGAGCTGAATACAGTCCTGCACTTGAGCAACCTTCAGGCTGATGGTGGAGGCAGACATTGAAGACGATGGTTATGAAACATGAAAACTGCAACACTCAACACAGTGTTGTGGGTTCAGAGGGTTCAAAGGTTACAGAAAGAGGGAAGTTTTTCAGGCTCTGTGCTCCACGTGCCCAGACCCATTTGGGGCCCTGAGACTTTGCCTTGTCCTGGTGTTGGCTGATGGGTCCCTGCTGCCCTGCTGTGTGTCATAGGAGCACAGCAGAGAGAGGTGACACAGCAGAAACCTGGAGGCCTAGGGCTCTGGGGTGAGAGGTCATAAAGCCAGAAGTCAAAGTATAGAGGGAGGTGGAAAATTCCATTTGGCCATGGGCGGGAATCCTTGTGTAAGACCTTGCCAGCTCCTTGCTGGAACAAAGAACACAGTTTACCCGCCTCTTGGCTCTTACATCCAAAGTCTGGCTTATTTGTCACCAGAGCCCTAGCTTAGTTTTTGGCCCATAGGAGCTACCCAATTAATAATCACTGAGTGTAAAGGTCTGTGAGCAAAGGGAGTGTATGTCGGGTGTGTGTGGGGGGGCTGCTGTGTAGCTGGCTCCACTCTTCTGTAGGTTCTGAACCAGTGAGACAGGTGGTGGTGGGCGAGAAAGGAGGAATGGGGATAGAGACAAATGGCCAGAGTGGGAGAGGAAACTTTAGTATTAACAACGTGTTCAGATAATTTTACTTACCGGGGCACCTGGGTGGCTCAGTTGGTTAAGCAACTGCCTTCGGCTCAGGTCATGATCCCAGGGTCCTGGGATTGAGCCCTGCCTCAGGCTCCCTGCTCTGCTGGAAGCCTGCTTTTCCCTCCCCCACTCCCCCTGCTTGTGTTCCCTCTCACGCTATCTCTCTCTCTCTCTCTCTCTCTGTCAATTAAATAAATAAAGCTTAAAAAAAAAAACAAATAATTGTACTTACCAATGATGGTCAATAGAGCAAATGGCTAAAGATGAGCAAGGCATGGGCAGGCCAAATGGGGTGGAGTGAAGAGATATCAAAATGATCAAGAATGGGTGGGTGGGGACTGCAGCAGAAGATTGCCAGCTCCAACAGACACATGAAAAAGTGCTCAACATCGCTGGGCATCAGGGAAATCCAAATCAAAACCTCAATGAGATACCACCTCACACCAGTCAGAATGGCGAAAATTAACAAGTCAGGAAACGA